CTTCTGCTGCTTGCTTCAAGATCTCTCCTTTCTGTTCTTGCGCTGCTTCCTTTCCTGTCTTCGGCTGAACCTCTTCCGCCTTCTCTTCTTTTTCCTTCTTAGGTTTCTTTGGCGGTTTGCTGCTTTGTTGGTTGATGGCCTCGTGCAATGCCTTCTGACCCTTTTCCCCAACAGTCCCAATGCTGGGACAGGCGCCCGATGCAAGAGGTCCATCCTCTGTCAAAGCAAGGAGCCTCTCCTGGTTTGGGTTTTTGTCTTTGACTTTGACTCCCATGTTCTCCTCAACTTTTGTCTCCTTTGACACCTCTCCCCCCTGCTCCACGTACCACCAAATCTCCTCTTCGTCGCCGGGAAAGTCGAGGTCGTATTCAAACATGTCCTTGTCCTTGAGGCGGCCCATCAATTCTTTCGCTTTCCTTGGTTTTCACGCGATTTCGACGTATATACATAAAAAACACTGGTGTTACTGGAGAAATTTACAAACGTAGAAAAATTGAAGCTAATACATTTGAGAAGTTTTTCCCCATATGTTGCCACCAGATCTCGCTGTTTCACTCCTTTTCTTATCTTCTTGACTTTTCTTTGCTCTGACACCTTCCGCTCAATGTTGAACTGCACTTTCTCCCACTCACCACCACACCTCAACCACTCTCGGAAAAGGTTGAGTTTCGACTGCAGGAAGTTGGCTGCTAGGGATGCTGGAAACACCTTCCTATCGCCGCATTGGCGATTGAACTTGTTCCACTCGTTCTTGTGGGATACACCTTGCTTGGGTGAAATGGTTGGGCCAGTATAGATTTTCGAAGTACAAATGAAACAACACCCAAAAAAGAAAACATTGAAGTTTGGGGCTGGGAAACTGTTGGCAAGAGCATATTCGTCGGAACTCTTTTCGGCTTCCTTCGCCACAGCTACAATAGCAGTGCACTTGCTTCCATCAGTCCTGTCCTGCTCCGCTTCCTCCTCCTCTTCCTCTTCCCCATCACTGCTGGAATCATCACTGCTACAATCATCAGATGAGCTGTCAGCCTGCGTTGATGACAAACTCTCCCCATCCAAATCCTCATCATCATCCTTATCCCTAGCATTAGCTTCGTGCGCTCTTCTTCGTCCTCCTCCTCTTCCTCTTCTTCCTGCTCTTCCTCCTCCTCTTCCTCCTCCTTCCCTCCCTCTTGTTGCTCTTCTTCATCGCTCTTTCCCTCGTCCCCCTCTTCATCTTCACTACTTTCCTCCCCATCATCGCCAGCCTTGGTTTTTTTGTCTTCTTCCTTTTTCGCTAGCGCGCGCATTTGTTTCTCAAGCTTCTCTTCCATGTCAGCCATTGATTTCTCGTACATATGCTCTTCTATAGTCTGGCCTTTCTTAGCAGCCTCATTTTGGGCGTTCTCTAGGTCTGACAACTCCTCAAAATCGAGTGGCGGTGGCACAGATGGGCTGAATGGTGGTTGCGACTGCGAGTCTGCTGCCAAAGCTGCATTCCTGTTCACAGGTGTAGAGGGCGCTGGCACGGGAGTCTTGGGGGTGGAGCTTTGACTCTTGCCATCATTGCCTTGTTTCTTCTGGTTCTTCTCCTTCCCATCACGTACACCTTCGTTGTCTTTCCGGTTCTTCTTATTCTTCTTCTCTTCCTTTTTGGATGCCTTCTTGTCGTCTTGTTTCTTTGCCTTCTCCTCTTTACTTGTCTTCTTGTGCTTCTCATCCTTTGCCTTCTTCTCTGATGCCTTCTTCTCTTCTTTCTTTGC